ATATAGGTAGAGAGCGGGTCTAGGTCGGCAAAGTTGAGCGCGCGCAGAAGAGGAAAGTTTCCATTTCTCTTTAGCCGCTTGAGCTTGCTCTCCAAGTTCTTGAATGGGCCGCGTTCAGGCCAATGGAAGCTTCTGGATTGAGTTATGCTAGTGTCAAGATGAGCCAAGGCCTTGGGCGCGGTATCTCGGGCCTCTTGATCCATCAAAGTCTCCATGGGCTCTACTTAGGCGCTCGTCGGACATGTCTTGGTAGAAAATAAGTTCCGGTCCAACGAGTGATCCAAATGACCTCTTTCCACTTCGCCGCGGGTCATGACTCAAATATCTATCTTTCCATATAAGAATCATGACTTTTGGACGTCGGGAAGGCATGAATATGCGGTCGTACTTCGGATGCTCCGGTTTGGTCTTTAGCGAGAAATGTAGATTTGGTGCTCTAGACTTGGGAACTTGGTGATTTGACTCTTTTTGCTCCATTTTGGACTCTTCTTTGCTATTTTGACCTGAATGATGCTCAAAACCAGAATATACAAGAAAACTACCTCTTGGGCTTAAAAACCACATTATTTGTATTGAAAACATAGTGAAAACCTTGATAAAAACATGAAAGATATGGGTATATCAACTCCCCCAGACTTAGCCTTTTGCTTGTCCCCAAGCAAACTAAGAGAGGAAGAGAGGTTTGAAAACGCAAGAACTCTCAAATCATTAGGAAATCCGGGTTGGCTTGGTTTTAGTAATCCACATGAAAGTAGTAAAGGCAAATATTTGAATTAAGAACAAGAGTACATACCATGAGTTTTGCGATTTTTCCAAGGCGGCCCACCTCTCTTTGGACAATCCAATTCACCCTCCTTGACTCCTTTCATTTCTAAAGGTGTGGTCTCAACTAGGGAGTATCGATCAGCCGGCTTTAGACTCTTACTCATCCCCTTGTTTTGGCACTTGTCTTTTTACTCCATGTTTCTCCTCTCTCTCTTCTCACTTCTTTGAGTTGACTCATCCCTTTTTTAGGGTAGCGAAGTATTTTTTTATTCAACTCCTTCTCTTTATTATAGAGGTTTTGCTTGGATCTTCCACAGACGCGAGTATTGATGGTGTTTGCCACCGAATCCCCGGTTGCTTGGATTCATAGGCCTTCCATAGACGCGAGTATTGATGGTGTTTGCCACCGAATCCCCGGTTACTTGGACCTTACGCTTTTTCTTTAAATTTGAAGGGGAGAGAGAGGGAAGCACGAACTCACTAAGACTTTTTCATTTGATGGAGAGGATGAGGAATCATGCCATTTGTATGCCAAGCCCCTAGCTGAGAAGATTAAGTTCATTAAGGGCGGAGTCAAGAGTGGATCCTTCTCAAGTCCTTGGAGGTGTGGGCGTTTTTGGTAGATCGATCAACTCATAGTGTCCCTGTGGTAAGATGTATTGCCAAGACTGCTTCAATGGTCACTTAAACGTTAGCACAACAATGGTTAGATCCAAGATAAGGTCATAATCCTTTGACAAAATTTTGACTCAATAAAACGACTCAATGAAATTCAAAAAGAACAAACTTGTTAGTAATCCCCCCAGACTTAACTTGCACCGTCTCGGTGTAAGAAAAATCCAATTAAGAGAGGTAATGATAAATAGAATGGAAAAGTTAGAGTTTGTAGAAAATTGTACCCAAATTTTTGGCCTTTGATGTGAAGATCGGTTGTGCGCTTAGTTGCTTCCAGGAATGAACTGACTGGTGCAAACATCATAGCTGTTGGATTTGGTTGGATGAATGTGACAATTCTCCCTTGGTTTTCTGTTTTTCGCCTTTTTGGCCGAGACTGGTCCGTTTTGGTCGACCGGATGGTGATGGTATGGACTACAGCTCGAACCGTGAAGATTTCCTCGACCTATCTTGAAATTTCGTCGACCAATATTGTATAATATGGCGACTGGTGAAGTTTGGGGTCGTTTGAACGAGTGGTTTGAGATCTCCTTTGAAAAATTTTCAAATTGGCTCCGGGAACGTCTTCCTTCGGTCTTCTCCAATTCTGCTCGTTCCAATCTGGATTTTCTTCTTTAGATGCGATGTGGATGCTTGATGGAGGTGATTTGAGCCGGTGGCCGCGGTAAATGCCGTGATTTGGATTGTCGGCCATTTTACTTGCTCGCGATCGGCCAAATTTCACTCCATCGGCCATCTCTTGAATTGTAAGGAATTCATTGTACTGAAATGAATTTCATCGACCAACCTTATGTTTTGTGGCTCCTTGTGAAGTTTGAGGCGATTTGAACGTGTGGATTCGGAGATCTTTCGTCGTGCGCGCCAATGGCTTCGGGATGTGATTCCTTTGGCCATCTTGTATTCTGTTCGATCGTCTCCTTCCTTTCTTCTTCCTTGGTGTTTTTTGGACTCCAGAGGATCAGTTTCCACCGGTGTTCGCGCCTTCTTGAGGTTTTGAGTTCGTCGGCCATTCTATGCATCGCCGTCGGCCGTATTGAGCTTCCTCGTCTATCTCACGTAGCAGGCACTTTTTCTCGTCCTATCTTTTGGATTTGCCGACCAAAATGATGTTTTGAGGTCGCCTGTGAAGTTTGGTGGACTTCGGTCGTGCCGTTTGGGAGATGGTCGAGCATTGTCGCTTGGTTCGTCGATTCTGGCCGAGAGAGTGATTGGAATGTGATATCTCCTTTTTACTCGGGCCAATTGAGTTCTGCTTCGACCGAACTGTTTTTCTATCCCTCCTGGATTGAATTGTGGTTGGATTTCCCTCATCTCTCATGTTTGGCATGTAAATCCTCCTTTGGCCGGTTGTGGCTTCCTTGCGCGCCATGTTTGTTGATATTTTGAACCGGTTTTCCTGTCATATTTTATATCTGAAAAACACTAGTAACTCTTTGTTAAATTCTTCAAATCTTCCTCCATGTCCAAGCATCTTGACTCTACTCTCTCTATTTGGGTAGAGAGTTCTCCAAGTCTTCCATCTAGTTCGTATCGCGTGAACTCTAGCTTTGTTCAATGTCGCGGCTAGTTTTTCTTTGGCTCTCCATGAAACCCTCAAGCACGGCATCGAAATGGCTATCTCTCCGCCTATTGAGAACATGGTCGTGGTGTGAATGCAACACTGGTCTAGGTGGTTGATGATAAACCGGAGGTCGGTTTTGATGATGATGGTAATGATGCTCGTCTCGGCTAGGTCCTTCAAACGTCGGATGAGCGCGGTTGGGAGGGAACGGATGTGGCACGATGCTTACGGCTGGGTCTTGGTAACTCCGGCCGTGGAGATCGTGTGGGATCAGTGTCCGGTTCCCAAAGTGGATGTTGGTGTTGTGATTCATCTCCAAGTACCTATAAACACAAGATTTAAAAAGAAAAAGTTAGTATTCGAAAATACCAAGATCTAGACTTAGTTTTAAACAAGACTATGCAAGTGTTTATGATGCAATCCCCGGCAACGGCGCCAAAAACTTGATGCGGCATCTATGGGATGAGTACAAGTAATAATTCCCTAAGACAACTAGTGTTGCAAGTGCACAACATATAATTGTAGTATTTAGGGGTCGAACCACAAGGGATTGGATTTCACACATTACATAATCATAGAGTTTAAATGTCTAAGCTAAATCAAAATATGCAAGGGTTGTGTTTGTTTAGAACACGCAAAAGAAATAACAATGCAATTCTATACAAGCAACATTATTGAACTATTGAAAACTCTTTTGAAAACATGAGCCAAGTCGATTGAAAAGTTTGTTAAAATCCGATTCTTTTGAACTCAAAACACTAAGGAAGGATTATTCCACTTTCGTGGTTCCAATCCCCTATGTCTCTTAAACCAATGGGCTCAGCTTTCGTTGGTCATTGTAGAGTGAGACATGCATTACATCCAAGTAATGATTGTTCACAAAACTCTTTAGGTCTACTTTCGTAGCCTAAAACGATTTGCCCATCAAATACTATATCCGGAGATATAACAAGCTTTTGGAGAGTATATCAACCTAAAATCAAGTCACTAGTTAGCTACTCTAGCAACAGGCATTAAGCATAAATAAAGATGGAGAACCATAGGGTTTCCCCTTTTAACAATCGATTTTCGATGGCCATTATATCACGTCCTCATTGGAAGGATCCATAATTCAACAATGAGTCTTAGATAGTAGATGAAGTCTCATGAATCCTTAGAGAGAGAGGCGGCGGAATATGACTAAACCACGCCTCACCCTTAGGGAGAAATCTCTACTTCTAGACTATATAAATTGAAACATGCAAGCTATATACAAATGCAAAAGAAGAAAAGAAAGAAGAAGGAGACCACCTAAGTGGCTCCGAACTTTATTGAATAAGTGTTTCTTGTTATGCGGCTGGTGATTCTTATTACAAGAGGCTAAAAGCAAGTATATATAGGTAGAGAGCGGGTCTAGGTCGGCAAAGTTGAGCGCGCGCAGAAGAGGAAAGTTTCCATTTCTCTTTAGCCGCTTGAGCTTGCTCTCCAAGTTCTTGAATGGGCCGCGTTCAGGCCAATGGAAGCTTCTGGATTGAGTTATGCTAGTGTCAAGATGAGCCAAGGCCTTGGGCGCGGTATCCGGGCCTCTTGATCCATCAAAGTCTCCATGGGCTCTACTTAGGCGCTCGTCGGACATGTCTTGGTAGAAAATAAGTTCCGGTCCAACGAGTGATCCAAATGACCTCTTTCCACTTCGCCGCGGGTCACGACTCAAATATCTATCTTTCCATATAAGAATCATGACTTTTGGACGTCGGGAAGGCATGAACATGCGGTCGTACTTCGGATGCTCCGGTTTGGTCTTTAGCGAGAAATGTATTTTGGTGCTCTAGACTTGGGAACTTGGTGATTTGACTCTTTTTGCTCCATTTTGGACTCTTCTTTGCTATTTTGACCTGAATGATGCTCAAAACCAGAATATACAAGAAAACTACCTCTTGGGCTTAAAAACCACATTATTTGTATTAAAAACATAGTGAAAACCTTGATAAAAACATGAAAGATATGGATATATCAGAGATTATCCTTCAAGGGCTTGTAGGCGGTTGTAGATCGAACCAAGATTTTTGCTATTGCCATAGCTAGTATCTTCAATTTTCATGCTCTTGTTCAGCAACTCTTGATATTTGGAAGCAACATCAAGCTTAACTAGGGTCAAAGATCGATCATGATCCTCTCTCAACTTCTTAATGTCTTCATCAAGCTTGATCACTTGCTTGAATAGGACTTCAGATTTGTTTCCAAGGCTCTCATGGATGAAATCGATTCTTCTCTCCATCTTCTTTGTACTCTCATCTTGATTTCTCAAGTACTCTTGAAGCATATCTTCAATGTTGGTTAGGCGTGCAGCTTGGTAGCTCTCCCTTGGGAAAAATGATGTCTTGTTTATGTCTTGTGATGATGGATGGTGATGTGAATAGCTTGGGCGTGGTGGTGGAACATGATGATAAAGGTTTTTGCGTGTGTGTGTGATATGAATGAAGGATGATAAGATATGAGGTGGAATGCAAACAGGGGTGAATAATGATGAAATGGTAATGGTGCAAACACAATCAATCAATTCCTCTTAACCATCATAGTCATTGAAGTATAAGAGGTTATCAATCCAAAATGGGAAACTTGTCACTCTATGAGAATATGAAACAACCAGAAAGTCAAGCAAGCAGTTATAGGATTTAAGTAACACTAACAACCTAAAAATGAAAATGCAGTGCAATAAAAGTAAACAAAGCAGTAGAAGTAGCTCGACCAAGGACTCGAGTCGAGTTGGGACAAGTACCAGCTCGATCGAGTTTAGGGTCGAGTTGAGCAAAAGCAGTAAAGGTGACGACTTTAACAAGATAAAGAGAGAATTAGGGTTCAAGACAGGGTTTTGCAATCAAAGGAATCTACACTTAATCATCTAGCTCTTAAAACTCCTTGTATCAAGGCTTCTCTTGATATTGGGCTTCTCAATGCCTAGCCAACCCTTTCCCAAGGTGGAGGCTATCAACCAAGGAATGATCTCAGAAACAGGGGGTTAGCCAGTGAGAATCAAACCTTGGAGGCCATAGGATCATTGCCCAAACTAATCCATCCAACCCCTTAGACCTCTATTGTCTAGAGCAAGAGATATTGGAGCTCTTAGTGGATCTTTTCCAGCGAATGCCATCACTTCCGTGTGGGGAGTCGCCTAAGGACTTACAAGCCAGGGGTAGTGGTCATGTAGCCTTAAGATCTATCCAAAAGAGAGAGAATCTAGATTAAGACCATAAGCTAGAAGGATTAAGCATATGAAACCTCTAATCTATCCCATCTCAAACCCTAATGGGTAACTACTCACTACACATGAATGTAAACACAAGCAAATGCAATAAAAGAGACATCATAAGAAAGAGGAGATGAAATTAAACAACTTTTATTGAAATAAGCAAGTGCAAATACAAAGCAAATAATCCAGGATCTAAGATTCAAGAAGCAAGAGCTTCAAGAACACAAAGATGGGATTAGGGTTGCTAAAAGTAAAGACAATAAAAAAAGCTAAAACAAAATAATCTAAAGCTTGGTGGTTTTTTCGTGGCTTAGAGCCTTTAAATACAAGAGGATTAGGTTTAGGGTCAAAGGAAAGTCAAGGGGGAAGCAACATTTTTCGGGTTTGACTTTGACTCCCCAGCTCGATCGAGTTGAAGCTTGGCCGGTCGAGTTGAGGAACTCGACCGGTTGGTCGAGTGGACGGTCGAGCTGGTCTTCAAGATGGCTTCTCCCTTCTTCCTTTGCGTGTCCAGTTGAGCTGCTTCCATGCGCCAAGTCCCTCCATGCTTCCTAGGGAGAGGCTTCTTGAGGTAACATCTAGCGGTTTGGGATTTTTCTAAACACTTAGGGAACTTTTCTTCACTTTTTTAACACTTGAGGCTTTGCCTTCTTTTCATTCTACTTAGAACCCTTTTTACTTTCCTTTTTTAACTTCCCAAACCTTTACTAGACCCTTTTTAACACTGCCAACTCCCTGGACTTAACCAAACTCTTTTTCCTTTGGGTTTTTCCCAACTTTTACCACTTTTCTGGTTTTTACACCCAACTCGATCGAGCTCGAGTTGGCACCCCCAAACTTAGCCTGAAAACAATCCCAAGAGAACTAGACAACTAGAACTACTGCCCCTGCCGGTTTAAACACAACACCTTATGCTAAGCAAAGCCAAGAAAGGTTCTCACATTCGCACAAGAGATAATAAGGGGTTTGAAATGAAAAGGCTTAGGTTTAAGGTGTGGTAACTGTCTCAAAGATAGAGATCAGCTATCTGGACAAGCAAAAGGGATATGAAAAGGTAAAGAATGTCCAGATATGTATGTGGTAGCCATGAGTTGAAATCAAATGCAAGCATTGGTAATTAAAGATCAAGTTATGGTTCAAATAGATAGGGAAATGCATCAAATCACAGCAATGGTTGAATGAGATGTGCATGCAGTGATATGATCAAGATAAACATGGTTCTTGCTGCTCAATCAATCTCACCCTAATGCACAAAAGAATCTAAAAACAGGGCACTCAAGAAATCGCAAAAGATGGACAAGTTTTCAAAGTCAAATCAACAATGCAAGTGAAAAATGCAATCCTAAACAAGTCTAACAAATATGAATGCAAAAAGATGAAAATATTTTTGGATTTTTTGAAAATTTTATGATTTTTTTGGTTTTTCTATGCAAAAGATAAATGAAAAACTAAGAACAAAGAAAACAAGGTTAAATCATCTCTTGAACCCTCCCCCAAACTTAAATCACACAGTCCCTTGTGTGAGAAAAATTAGTGAAAGATTCAAGAGGGCAAAACCAAGAAAAAACAAGAACAAAGCAAGAAAATATGAAATGGTATATACAAGGGTTGGTGTTTGGATACCTCAGTGCCCCCCAAAGAACTGGGAGGCTAGGTCGTGGTCTGGAGATGGTAGACGGCCATCAGGAGCGCTCCACTCAACTGGGTTCGGCTCACTCGATCGAGCTTGTGGCTCCTCCTCCTCTTCTTCTTCATCTTCAAAGTGGGTGTGGCTTCCTTGGCCTTGGTGGAGTTGGCTCGCTCGAAGCGGTTGTAGGGAGTCCACTCTGAGAGAAGTCCTGGTACTGGGTTGATCGTACTCGAATCCAGGATCTCAAACAGGGGCTCCTCCAGGTCAACTCGACCCTCAGCTCGATCGAGTTGAGTTTCCTCTGTTTGGACTCGATCGAGTCCGGTGGTCGAGCTGGAGCGTCTGGCCTTGGAACTCTTCCTCCTTCTCTGCGTGTTGTCTCTCCTTCTCTTGGCTCGAAAGAAGAGGCTCTGTGAGGCTCTTGGGCAGGGAGCCTCCTTTGGGTGGTGAGGAGTGACTACTCCTAGGGAATGTGGGGGCCTTGGACTTCTTCTTGCTTGAAGAACCAGAAACCTTCTTCTCCAAACTCTTGATCTTGCTCACCATCTTGTCCATGGACTTTTGCATCTTCTCATGGCTTTCCCTTGCCACTTGTTGAACTTTTGGAGAAGTCCAATCCTCTTGTGGGCAGCCACAACAGAGGGGTTCATCCTTGGAGCCTCATACTCCTCAAAGTAGTAGCACTCAGGCTCACCCAATCAGCGCTCCTGGACCTGATTTCAGCTCGATCCTCAGCTCGATCCTCAGCTCGAGACTCAGCTCGATCGAGCTCAGGCTCCTCTTCTCGCATCATCCTCATGCCCAACTAATGTGTACACAGGGGGTCTGAAGTCAATGTTCTCACCCCTTACAACTGTGGTGAGCTCTGGGTTAGGCAGGAGAAACTTGGAGGGTCCAACCAATGGATGTGTGAACTTGAATTGGAACCTCCCATCCAACTCCTTGTGCTCAATGAGGAGGTTGGTCTTGCAAAACTTGATGTCCATCCAACCTGGTTCAGTAGCTCTCCTATCAGTTGGGTTACTCCAGCAGCACACAAGATAGGTGTGATGAGCCCTCCAACACTAAGCTTTCTTCCTCTTTGGTGCCTAGTGTTGTAAGCTGTGATCTTGTAGGTGAGGAGGTGGTCAAGGAAAGGCATCAAGTTCCCTGTGTCAGACCTATCTCCCCTTATCCTCTTGCCATCGCTTGTGCGTGAGAGAAGGGCTTGATTCCCATGTCAAGAAACTTGAGTTCCCCCTCGTTGATTGTCCCGGTTGCCTTCCTTGCAAAGAAGGTGTTGGCAAGTGCCTTGTGCACATATCTCAAGACTGGGCTCCTGATCTGAGCTGCCTTGGACCTTGAGGAAGAGTACACTCCATCAGCGATTGTAGCCCAAACCCTTTGGAGTTCCTTTTCCTTGAAGTTCCACTTGGTTCCCTCTCCATAGTTGAACCCAAACAAGATCTCCAGCTGCCTAAAGGTCACCATTCTCTTCTCTCCCTTAGCCAAGAACGTGATCCATCCCAATCCTTGGTCCAAATCAGCTCTATCTTCTTCCTCATACATGTGGTACCTCATTGAAGCTAGGAACTCGCAAGTGAGCTCCTTGTAGGATTCCATGTGGTAGAGAAGAGCTTGGCCAAGTGCATGTTCTTGAGGACCAACTCCACATCTTCAAAGATTCCAAGGGCCTTCATGGTGTCAACATGTGGGTACTTGGTGTCCATGAAGTCCATGGAGAAAAGAGCATCATAGTGCTCTTGGTACATGGGGAGCTCATCCTCTTCTTCACTTGACTCCTCCTCTTCCATGGGCACATTCTCATTGCCCTCATGCTCACTCTCCTCAATCTCTTGATTGATCTCTTCACCCTCTTCTTCACTTGGGGAGTCATCATTCTCCTCATGTGGGATGTTCACCCCAATTTCAAACTCTCCTGCTTCGCTCTCACTGCTGAGAGGATCATTCCTTCTTTTGGTTCTCCTTTCTTCCCTCACCCTCTCAACCTCTTCTATGTCCTCCTTGGTTTGTGTTTTGAGTATCCTCCTTGCTCCTCTTATCATCTCCATCCTTGTGAACGCTAGCTTGCTTCCTTCACCTCTCAACATCTTAGATTGGTCCCTGAAATGCATCAAAAGTTCAAAAATTAGAGTTGTAATGATCGGTTTGGTCAACTCGACACTCAGCTCGATCGAGTCAAAAAACTCGAGTGACAAACTCGATCGAGTTGGTGAAAACAGAGTATAACCAAACCTAATTCATGTATTAAGAGCTGGAAAGGATGCTAATCAATCAAATTGAACCAAGAACAACTAGTAAATGGAACAATAAGCAATTCTAGTGAAAAACATAGCAACCTAACCATTACCAAACTCAAATTCAACCTTTCAAGCACATGCAACAAGTTTAAAGGCAAAACAGAGGTGAGGTGAAGCAAAACTAACAAGTTACAGGCAGAGGCGAAATATGAAAGCAAATTCTCAATAACAAGTCCACAAGGGACACATGCAATCAAAAATCAAGAGGAAACAAGCAATAGGAATCGAGATGGAAGAATCAAGGGTTTTAGGGTTCATACCTTGTTGAATGATGGAATTGAAGAGCAGTAAACTAAGAACTAAGCAAAACAAGATGAAGAACAAAGAAATCGCAAAAACTAAGAGAGAGGGATTGAAAACTCGATTTTTCTTGTGGTGAAGAGAGAGATGGATGAGTTTCAGAAATTTATGAGTGTGGGAGAGAGGAATCGTGGGTTCGATCGAGTTAATGGGGAAGAGAGTTGTTTGAGATGTGTGGTTGAGATTAAAAGATGGGATAAAGAGGGAACAAGAAACTAGGGATTCTCTGATCGAATTAGGGTAGTGGGGGACCAAAATCAGCTTGTGGGACCCACTCCCTTGACCAAAAAACGGTTATGAATTTGAAATTCAAAAACTTACCTTGGTCGAGTTGAGGAACTCGATCGAGTTGCCCTGGTTTCTAGCTCGATCGAGTCGTGGGTCGAGCTGGCTCCTTAGACACCTAAACTTAACTTATTGAAAGGTTAAAAACATAAAGATAGATAGAAATTGCATAAATAGAGTATGTACAAGGATAAACATGGGACTTCCTCCCAAGTGAGCTTGTTTAAGGTCCCATAGCTTGACCTTTACCTCTTAGGCATTGGTTGAGCTAGTCCCACCATCAAGGGTGATAGTGAGGACTTGAGACAGAAGCTCCTTTAGCTTGGTTGGGTCCCTGGACTGTTCTGAAGTCACTATGGCCTTGGCTCTAGAGAATGGCCTTGATCTCCCCTTGTACCTTATCTTGTACTCAATCTTCCCATTTTCAAACTTGGTGGGGAACAAGGTCATTGTGAGCTGAGATGGCTTGACTGAAGGGGCCTGAGCTGGTGGATCCTTTCTTTTATCTCCTGGTCTTGCCTTAGAGGCTGCATCCTCCCCTTCTTGTAGAGCCCTTCCTAGTGGCTCATCAAACAAAGCTTGAAGGCTCTCTTCATCAAGCACACAAGGGGCTTGAACAAGTCGCTCAGCTCTTGGCCTATCAGATCGTGGTTTCTCAACTCTAGCCCTCTCAAGACGTGGCTTCTCAATCCTTGGTCCTCTCTCATCCTTATCCTTCCCAACTCTTGGTTCCTTGTCAACCCTTTCCTTCACAACCTTTGTAGCTCCATGACTCTTAGAACTGAGATTGGTACTGTCAATTGTGGCACAAAAGTCTGAACCTCTAGGCTGCAAGCGATATGACACCAAACTATTCACCTTGTGAAGGATCACTTCTTGCTTGTGAAAGTCAATTGAAGCGCCAACTGTACTAAGGAAAGGGGTTCCCAATAGTAAAGGCAAATCCTTCTCTTCTTCCATTTCCATCACAGTGAGATCAGTTTGGATGATGCATTCTCCAATTTTCAAGTGATAATTCTTGAACACTCCAAGAGGAGACTTAGTAGTTGCATCTCCAAAGATGATTGAAGTAGTAGGGCGCTGCAAGGCTCCAGCTATGCCTAGCTTCTCTGCCATGGAGAGAGAGATCAGATTGATGCTTGCTCCAGAATCCACTAAAGCATTGTCAATTTCAAGATGCCCAAGTGTGCAAGGGAGAGTGAATTTCCCTTGATCCTTGACCTTTGGTAGGAAGGTGGGTGAAGTAAGCAGGTTGAACTGATGAGTAGACTCTTGTAGGACCTCTGAAACAGGGTGCAGGCTGGGGAGGTTGGTGGGGGAAGCCTGGTGGGATATTCATTTGTTGTCCAGGGAAAGTGCCTTGTGGTCCTTGGTAATTGTTCTTTTGACCATACCCTTGTTGTTGTCCTTGACTCGATCGAGCTGCTTGTTGTTGCGGATAGACTTGGTCCTGAGGGTTAGCAACATCAGTGTTGCGGTATGACATAGCAGGGTTGGACTTGTAGTTATAGTATCCTTTGTTGTAACCTCCTTGCCCATTGCTCATGTAGCATACCTCAGCAAATTGTGTATCCTCCCCTTCTTGGACTGGTTCCATCTCCTCAGCAGACACAAAGTTGACTTTCTTCATTGTGGACTGAGCTAGGATCAGCTTATCCAACTTCTCATTCAATGCCTTAACATCTTTTCTCAACTTTTCGTCTGACTCGATCGAGTGGTGGGTCGAGCTCCGGTTGGTGCGATCATACTCTTCTCCATAGCTTCCATTTGAGTTAGCTATGTTCTCCACAAGTTGCCAGCCATCATCTACATCCTGGTTGAGGAAGTTCCCATTGCTAGCTGTGTCTAGCATCTCCCTATACCTAGGCAAGCATCCTCTATAAAGAGTGGAGAGTAGTGATTCATTGTTGAATCCATGGTGTGGGCACTGACTTGTGTACCCTTTGAACCTCTCCCAAGCCTCTGCGAATGTCTCATTGTTTCGCTGGATGAAGCTGGATATCTCTCCTCTAAGCTTGGCTGTGCGACCGGTGGAGAAAAATTTAGCAAGAAAGGCCTTCTTGCATTCATCCCAAGTGGTGATTGTGCCATGGGGCAAGCTCTTCTCCCATTGGTGAGCTTTGTCAGCTAGAGACATAGGAAAGAGTCTCAGCTTGATGGCATCTTCAGAGACACCATTGATCTTTGTCAAATCACAAAGCCTATCAAACTCATCAAGGTGGTCAATGGGGTCTTCACTTGGCAAGCCATGGAACATCTTGTTCTGGACAAGGTTGATCATTCCCAGCTTGATCTCAAAGTTGTGGTTCTGCACTGGTGGTGGAACAATCCCTTGTCTCTGTTGGTGGCGGTTTGGAGCATCTCCTTGACCAATCGGTCGAGTTTGCCTAGCTCGACCGAGTCCATGTCCCAAAGGGTTTCCATTCCCTTCTGGTACATCCATTGTATCAGCAACAAGCACCTCAGGTTCCTCTTGTACCCTCTGTGACCTTTGAACCCTCTTTCTACCCGTTGTAATGTCTAGCTCGACCAAGTCTTCAGTTGACCGACTCGATCGAGTTCGCATACACCTGCAAAAAGAGACAAAAACCCAGCAGTACAATAGAACAGGGGTGGTATAGCTTGATCGTCCAAGTGTGTTTGAAACTCAAATGCAACAAAAATATTCCCAAATCGGCAACGGCGCCAAATTGATGATAATTTGTGTGTGTGTGAAGAATGAAATGAAAGATATGAGTGGAATGCAATCAGTGGTATAATGATGAGGTGGTAAGATGCAAACACAAACAATCAACAATTCCTCTTAACCATCATAGTCATTGAAGTATAAGAGGTTATCAATCCAAAATGGGAAATCTTGTCACTCTATGAGAATATGAAACAACCAGAAAGTCAAGCAAGCAGTTATAGGTTTTAAGTAACACTAACAACCTAAGAAATGAAAATGCAGTGCAATAAAAGTAAACAAAGCAGTGAAGTCAGCTCGACCAAGGACTCGAGTCGAGTTGGGACAGAGTACCGAGCTCGATCGAGTTTAGGGTCGAGTTAGCAAAAGAAGTAAAGGTGACGACTTTAACAAGATAAAGAGAGAATTAGGGTTCAAGACAGGGTTTTGCAATCAAAGGAATCTACACTTAATCAATCTAGCTCTTAAAACTCCTTGTATCAAGGCTTCTCTTGATATTGGGCTTCTCAATGCCTAGCCAACCCTTTCCCAAGGTGGAGGCTATCAACCAAGGAATGATCTCAGAAACAGGGGGTTAGCCAGTGAGAATCAAACCTTGGAGGCCATAGGATCATTGCCCAAACTAATCCATCCAACCCCTTAGACCTCTATTGTCTAGAGCAAGAGATATTGGAGCTCTTAGTGGATCTTTTCCAGCGAATGCCATCACTTCCGTGTGGGGATCGCCTAAGGACTTACAAGCCAGGGGTAGTGGTCATGTAGCCTTAAGATCTATCCAAAAGAGAGAGAATCTAGATTAAGACCATAAGCTAGAGAGATTAAGCATATGAAACCTCTAATCTAACCCATCTCAAACCCTAATGGGTAACTACTCACTACACATGAATGTAAACACAAGCAAATGCAATGAAATAGACATCATAAGAAAGAGGAGATGAAATTAAACAACTTTTATTGAAATAAGCAAGTGCAAATACAAAGCAAATAATCCAGGATCTAAGATTCAAGAAGCAAGAGCTTCAAGAACACAAAGATGGGATTAGGGTTGCTAAAAAGTAAAGACAATAAAAAAAGCTAAAACAAAGATAATCTAAAGCTTTGTTTTTTCGTGGCTTAGAGCCTTTAAATACAAGAGGTTTTAGGTTTAGGGTCAAAGGGAAGTCAAGGGGGAAGCAACATTTTTCGGGTTTGACTTTGACTCCCCAGCTCGATCGAGTTGAAGTCGAGTTGAGGAACTCGCCGGTCGAGTGGACGGTCGAGCTGGTCTTCAAGATGGCTTCTCCCTTCTTCCTTTGCGTGTCCAGTTGAGCTGCTTCCATGCGCCAAGTCCCTCCATGCTCCTCATGTCCAATATGCTCCAGAATGCTCCAAAAGACCTATTTCAAAGGCCAAACATGCATATGTATGCAAATGCAACCTAAAACTAACATGAATGCATAAGAAGAGAAAAGGAACAAGATATGATACAAATGGAAGCTAAAACTATGCAAAAGATGCATAAAAGATGTGCTAAAACTATGTAAAATGCAAGTACATCAGAACATAAACAGAATTTTTATCAAATCTGTGGAGGAAAGCTTCTTTGTATCCATTCCAAGTCTTGAAAGCATGTTGGGCGTTGAACTTAGCCCAGTCTTTGGCTTCTCCAGCTAGAGATAGTTGGAAAAGTTGTATCTTCTTGGGGTTGTCTCCAAGTCCATAGTTGATATACCTCTATTTTACCTACTTTTTATGCTATTTTACTATGGTTTTCTAATGGTTTTCTAGTGGATTCTTGTGTTAAAAGGTAGTTTTTATGGATTTATAGTGCAAAGAGTCATTTTAGGTAAAAAGGTGCATTATGGAGCAAAACAGAGATTTGGACTCTAAACCAGTTCAATGCCCCTGCATCAACTTTGGATGGAGCTAGAAAAAGATCTACTCAATGGATTTCATCAAGACCAGTTCCCTGCGTGCTCTGATTGAGTTAACTTTCCAACGCAACTGGAAACGGCTTCATTTGGATGAGTAGAAAAGGAGTTATAGCCAAAAGAGTGAAGACTGCTCCAGACGGCCTATCGAGAATCAGCGCCCGAACCGCGCAGTCCGGCTGGCCGAGGAACGAATGTTCCGCGCTCGGCCAAAACCGTGTCCGTCCGAGTCTGCCAAAGTCTCGGCCAAAGTACGACCCGGGAAACATTGTCCCGCGGTCGGCCAGCCACAACGTCACGCCACGCCGCGCACGACCAGGCGCGCGAGCCGGGAAACAAAGCCTCGCGGCCGCGCAACCCGTTCCGCGTACCACGCCGATGCATCCGTCCGAGCCGGGAAAGAACGTCCCACGTCCGGCCGAGAAACCATCGGCCAAATCTTCATCCGCCCGACCAAGCCGGCCGACCATGAAACGATCCGGCCACGAGAATCAACATGGTTCTTGTTGCTCCATCAATCTCACCCTAATGCACAAGAGAATCTAAAAACAGGGCACTCAAGAAATCGCAAAAGATGGACAAGTTCTTAAAGTCAAATCAACAATGCAAGTGCAAAATGCAATCCTAAACAAGTCTAACAAATATGAATGCAAAAAGATGAAAATATTTTTGGATTTTTTTGAACATTTTATGATTTTTGGTTTTTTCTATACAATAAGGGGATGAAAAACTAAGAACCAAGAAAACAAGGTTAAATCATCTCTTGAACCCTCCCCCAAACTTAAATCATC